ACTTTTACTTAAAGCGTTTACTCCAACTGAAAAATAAATTTAAAAAATAGAAGAAAGAAAAAGTAGTTTCTTTTGATCATTTATAGAAATGTCTAAGTTCAATGCACTGCCGATAGATGGCAGGCCAGTAAGGAAAGCATTTGAAATCATAAATAATATTCAACGTTAAACTGATACACAATTTAAAAAAAAAATTTAATTGTGTACCAGTTTAACGTTGAATATTATTTATGATTTTAACTTTATACACAAGTGCCAAAATACTATAATTAAGAAAAGCATCTGTTGAAAATGGCCCAGTAGGGCGTATTTAAGACCGAAGTGGTGTTACAACCTATAGGCCCAGCTTTGTGAATGCGAGCAAAATCATAACACGTAATATTTCCATCATTATCACAGTCTTTTCCCCACTTCTTCATGTAGCCTACCACGGCCTTCTCTGCACATGTTCTGTCCTTAAGACACACCTCGAAATCTGTTGAACAATAGTAAAAGACAGATGAAACTTGCAATGATAAATTCTATTAAAATAATACAATAAATCTAGGAACTTTTTTTAAAAATATTCCACATGTTACGTTACTACTAACCTCCCTTAAAGTTCTTCAACTCACTCCTTATATATATATACAGATACTTTTCATGATAATTATTATTGAGATAAAGGGAGTGAACTGATAGAGTCACCTGGAGAGTACTGATAAGGTAGTTATTGAGACACATAGATTGTACTGATAAGGTAGTTTATTGAGACACATAGATTGTACTGATAAAGTAGTTATTGAGACACATAGATTGTACTGATAAAGTAGTTATTGAGACACATAGATTGTACCGAGAAGGTAGATATTGAAGCACGTAGATGGTGAATACTGGGATGAAGATTGATTACTGAGGCAATAGAGAGTAATGAGAACATTAAGGTAAATGAAGTATACTGAAAGTGGAATTATTGAGTCGTATTGGAATTTTTCTGAGCTTTTATAACTTAGAAATACTGAGTATATCAAGTTGATGGATATTGAAGAATACGGAGAGTATTAAAATGATGGTTATCAAAGAACACAAAGTGTAATGAGATGATGTTTATTAAAGAACATAAACTGTAGTGAAATGATGATTACTGAAACACATTCAGTGTCCTGAGATGATGGTTATTGAGAAATATTGAATATATTAAGGTGGTGGTTATTGAGAAATAATGAGTACTCTGAGATGATGGTTATTGAGAAATAATGAGTATTCTGAGATGATGGTTATTGACAAATAATGAGTACTCTGAGATGATTGTTATTGAGGAATAATGAGTATTCTAAGATGATGGTTATTGAGAAGTAATGAGTATTCTGAGATGATGGTTATTAAGGAACGCGAAGTCTACCGAGATGATGGTTATTGAAGAATAATGAATATCCTGAAATAATGGATTTTAATGAACTCAAAGTGTAATTAATTGGTGATTACAGTTGCACATCGAGCGTGTAAGGAACTCAAAGTGTAATTAGGCTGGTGATTACAGTTGCACATCGAGCGTGTAAGGAACTCAAAGTGTAATTAGCTGGTGATTACAGTTGCACATCGAGCGTGTAAGGAACTCAAAGTGTAATTAGGTGGTGATTACAGTTGCACACCCAGCGTGTAAGGAACTCAAAGTGTAATTAGGTGGTGATTACAGTTGCACATCGAGCGTGATGAGATCATGGCTATCGAGAACCACGGTATACACTAAGAAAGTGAGTATAGTTGGATGGTCATGTGGAAAAATCAGTTTTTTTATTACTCGTTGGAACTATGATTAAGTAACTTTTCAGTTGTTTTATGGTCATCACGCTTAACATGTTTTACTGTACTTTATACAACATTGTAAGCAAACAACCATTCTTGTAAAACTAGGGTTAAAATTGTTAGAAATGATTCGTAAACTAACAAATAATTCACTTCTAGTAAGTAAATGATATCTGGTTGATTGGTTGGTTGTTGTTAAACATAAAGCTACACGATGGACGATCTGTATTCTGCCCACCACTTATATCGAAATCCGATTTTTAGCGTCGTAAGCCTATTGGTTTACCGCTGAGCCACTGGAGGGCGTAAGTGATGTTAATACTTATAACTGAGACTGTGTACAACTTATTGCATCATTTATCACTTTGCGCTTAAATTACTTGGAAAACATGTCTTGAATATTCAAATGACTTCGGTAAATCTTAGGGTGTTTGAACAATGTTTCCAATTACCAAGAAAAACACAATTTGGTTTGAAATTCCTTTGAGAGAAAGAATAAGAAAGGTAACAAATACCAGGAGTTAGTAAGTAGTATATAAGTCTTTAATAATTTAATCCAAAAAACTTCACACTCTCGAAAGGTGAATTATCGTCGACTTTAGAATATTTTGAAGTCCAAACGTCAAGCAAGTTTATCATGTTTTGGTATTTTTATCCACGATAACAAACGTCTCTAGTTTGAATTCTATATTTACTTTTCCATTTAATTATTCTTACAAACTTAAAACATTGAGTGCAGTGAATACCACAACGACCATTGATCTCATCCGCTCTCACAAACAGAACTTCTTTTTTTTTTGCTACATTTCAGTTCACAGTCCTAGAGCCAAAAATGATTTGAAACATTCCTTTAATTAGAATATATTGCCTAAATGTATATTTCTGTGCGTATCCACTGTAAGTATGGTGTTACGAATGTCCCAATTCATTCTTAGCAGAACACTATCTTTGGGAATTATTATCGTTAAACTTGATTTTTTTTATCATTTAACACGCCCCTCCTCCGGAGGCTCAGTGACAATCTTAAGGAATATAACGCTTAAATCCGGGGTTCTAGCCCTGCAGTGGCCACCATGTAAATACCCCATTGTGTACAGTTTTGTTCTTAAATAATAGCAGTCACAGAAGCACAATAAAAAGCTACAGCTAGAAATATTACTTTAAAGTTAAACCAAATAACTTGTATCAAGCAAATAACTTAATTTGTTTTGTTTTTTTCTAGAGAAAAAAAAACCATAAATATTTCTTCCAAATAACTTGTATCAATTGTTTGTTTATTAGAGCAAAGCCACATTGGGTTATCTGCTGTGTCCACTGCGGGGAATCGAACCCCAGATTTTAGCGTTGTAAGTACGTAAATAGGTACCATTTGTGAGAATAAGTGTAATAGATGTGTAAACTGGTGTGTACACGCTTCACTAACAAGGTACTAACCTTGAGGGTTGTTAGGATCTTTCCCAGGACTTCCGCCTTCCGACCAATAAGAGTAAGTAATCAAATATGGCCCACAAAAGTAGTTCTCCGCTTCGTTGTGGCATTGTGTAGAAAGGGCACACCCGGAACTGGCCTAAACAAACACGTAAATAAATATGCTAGATTAATTAAAAATTATATGTGGGCACATTTTCTACTTAAAAAAAAAACATTCTACATCAGCGTTTCCCAAACTATTGGTCGCGACCCACTGA